CATACAGCGGTGTTTCATTAGTGAACGAATCTGCGGCTTTGACCGATTCGGAGAGTCAGTGATTAATAACACATTCATAACTACAGCATTTTGCTTCGTTACTGAATGAATGACGCGAAGCCTGGCTCATTAAGACAGCGACTTGCCGCCACCTATTGGCTGTTTTATTTTTAAATCTACAAGTATCACTTTGATTTGCCATCATTTATTGCTTTATTTATTATATTAATAATACACTTAATGGAATGTTAAGGATATGACATAAAACATGACACAATTAATAAGGATAGGAAATATTTGCCTTTATAAAGGTAAAAAATGCACCTGTAAATCAATTTAAGGGTGCAAATATTGTCCTTTATTAGAAAAGGTGTGACTGCGGTCTAAGTGGAAGAGAGGGGGTACACAGAAGTATGTTAAATGCCCCAGGGGGTACGCCGCTGTAAAAAGTTTGAGAACCACTGCTCTAAACAGACCCTCAATCGGTGGATTGTGGATACCATCTCCCTCGCCTACGAGTCCTCTGACCTCCCCTCGCCCCTAGGGATGAGGGGGCTTACTCCACCCGAAGCGTGAGAGGGACCTTCCTGTCGGGTGCCTCTATGCAGGACATTTGTAACACTGCGGGTTGGTCCACGCCGCTCACGTTTGTGAGGTTCTATGACCTCGATATTCGTGCCACTCCCGGCTCCTCTGTTCTCTCGCCTTAGCTGTGCTCTTCCACACTAGGCAGGGAAAGTCTGGCGGCGTGGGCATACTCGTTCCCATAGTGTTTTCGGACGCAGCTCGAGTTCCTGAATGGGAATGTAACCATGGTTCCCCGAAGGAACGAGACGCTGCGTCTCCCTGCCATACTTCCGGCATCCCTGCGAGCGCTTCCTTCATTCTCCAGAAGCTGCCGCTGTTTCCACCGCACGTGCTTTTAAGCTTCCTGGTCTCGTGATGTCTTGCCCATCCATTGGACTGATTACACATGTGATTCAGGGCGTGGTCATGCTGAAGGCGTTCCCATAGCGTTTTCCGATGCAGCTTCTCGTTCCCTCGGGGAACCATGGTTAAATGCATAACCTGGAGACGTTTTTCAGCAAATAGAATAATTATTTGCTCTTTTCCTCACAAAATTTTATCAAAGGAGTTGAAATATTATGAATGTTATGTTGCATAATATTATGGAAAATTATGCAAACAAGTTGTATCATAAAACTTCATCTGTGTATTTATTTATTTATATATTGTTTGTCTGTTAAAAGCATCCTACTGAACAAGTTCTAAAGAAGAAAAAAGTCACAGGTCACTGATTCTTGAGACATGGAACAAAACACGTCCAGAAATTGTAACTGCTATTAGGTTTAAAAACGAAAATATTTTCAATTGTAAATGTTATGAGGGATTAATAATAGAATGTATTTAACAATTTATCCCCTTCAATTTAATTGTATCATTATTATATCAGATCTATGACACTAATTGTCTTCTCACTACATCTAAAACAGTGTCCACAGAGAAGGGTTCAATCACTCATTTTTTTAATGATAAAAAAGAGCTTGTTTTATCAAAAGCAACACTTAATAATGGTAAGTTGATCGAGTCGATCCTTACCGCAGTCGCGAGAGTCAGAGAAGGCCGGTCACTCACTGTCAAGCAGTTTCAGAGACTGCTGGGTCTGATGGCAGCTGCGTCCAATGTGATACCTTTTGGCCTGCTGCATATGAGATCCCTACAGTGGTAGCTCAAGACCAAGGGGTTTTCCCCGAGGGGCAACCCACTTCGCATGATCAAGGTCATGCGGCGATGACTACGTGCCTTAGACATGTGGAGAAAACCGTGGTTCTTGTCTCAGGGCCCGGTGATGGGAGCTCCTTGTCGTCGCGTAACGCTAACAACGGATGCGTCCCTCACTGGTTGGGGTGTGGTCATGAGTCTGTGAAGTGGTCACCATCTCACGTGGCACATCAACTGCCTGGAGATGCTGGCCGTGTTTATAGCGCTGAAACACTTCCTCCCGGACCTAAGAGATCACCATGTGTTGGTGCGCACCGACAATACAGCGGTGGTCTCTTACATCAACCACCAGGGAGGTCTGCATTCGTGCCCCCTTTCAGGCTGGCGCACCAGATCCTTGTGTGGGCCCAAGGGAAACTCCTCTCGCTGAGAGCAGTGCACATCCCTGGGCATCTCAATCAGGGGGCAGACATCCTGTCGAGGCAGGGGCCAAGGCCCGGGGAATGGAGAATCCACCAGATGTGGTGGAGAGCGGATGTGGAGAGTGTTTGGCCAGGCTCAGGTGGATCTGTTTGTGACACGGGAGACATCGCACTGTCCCCTCTGGTTCTCTCTGACTCATCCAACTCCTCTCGGACTGGATGCCATGGTGCAGACGTGGCCGAGGCTTCGTTTGTACGCTTTTCCCCCGATTGCCCTGCTCCCGGGAGTTCTGGAGAGAGTGCGCTGGGATGGGGTCTGTCTGCTGCTAGTAGCCCCGTTCTGGCCACGCCGAGTATGGTTCTCGGACCTGATTTCCCTTCTCGATGGCTCTCCATGGGAGATTACCGTCAGGAGGGATCTCCTCTCACAGGCGGGGGGGCACCATCTTCCACCCCCGCCCGGAGTTGTGGAAGCTGTGGGTGTGGCCCCTGAGGGGGCACAGCTCATAGCCTCCAGTCTCTCAACTAAGGTTGTTGAGACAATCCTCCAATCCAGAGCTCCCTCCACCAGGAAACTGTATGCCCCCAGGTTACGCATGTAACCGTGGTTCCCAGAGGGAACGAGACGCTGCGTCTCCCTGCCATACTTCCGGCATCCCTGCGAGCGCTTCCTTCATTCTCCAGAAGCTGCCGCTGTTTCCACCGCACGTGCTTTTAAGCTTCCTGGTCTCGTGATGTCTTGCCCATCCATTGGACTGATTACACATGTGATTCAGGGCGTGGTCATGCTGAAGGCGTTCCCATAGCGTTTTCCGATGCAGCTTCTCGTTCCCTCGGGGAACCATGGTTAAATGCATAACCTGGAGACGTTTTTCAGCAAATAGAATAATTATTTGCTCTTTTCCTCACAAAATTTTATCAAAGGAGTTGAAATATTATGAATGTTATGTTGCATAATATTATGGAAAATTATGCAAACAAGTTGTATCATAAAACTTCATCTGTGTATTTATTTATTTATATATTGTTTGTCTGTTAAAAGCATCCTACTGAACAAGTTCTAAAGAAGAAAAAAGTCACAGGTCACTGATTCTTGAGACATGGAACAAAACACGTCCAGAAATTGTAACTGCTATTAGGTTTAAAAACGAAAATATTTTCAATTGTAAATGTTATGAGGGATTAATAATAGAATGTATTTAACAATTTATCCCCTTCAATTTAATTGTATCATTATTATATCAGATCTATGACACTAATTGTCTTCTCACTACATCTAAAACAGTGTCCACAGAGAAGGGTTCAATCACTCATTTTTTTAATGATAAAAAAGAGCTTGTTTTATCAAAAGCAACACTTAATAATGGTAAGTTTTATAGTTTTATAATATTTTAAATCCTTTTGTTAATATGTCCTGTGTCTCAACCATGATTTGTCAACACTATCGTCCAGTTTCTGAGGAAATTATTTGAAATGTTTAGATAATTTTATTCTCCTAAAGCAGGGTCTATTTGCATCTAGCATCAACAGAGAAAACAAAATGGCTATGTAACACAGTTCGTAGGTCGGGAAGAAGGAGGCGGGAACCGGCGAACATTAAACATAATTTAATAAATAAATAAACAAACAGAAAACTGAAAATAGCGCGACAGCCCCTTACGGATGACTACCGTGCACAAACAGAACCAAAACAACAACATCAATTCCAGGCCTGGTCCTCTCTCGTCCAACACTGTCGTCACTCCTCCTTTTATCCTTTTGGAGCTCCTCCGTGGGACTCGAGACCGTTGAGTGGCGCAGGTGTCGCGCATTATCATTTACTCCACCGGCCTCGCTCCGTTCCCCTGAATCTCGGCCCCGCCCCACTCGTCAGAGGCTACTACATGAACTCCATTTGTTTTGTGAAAGAAATGCCAAATTTGTCAACACTATCAGATGTTTGTCTGGCTGTGGTGACGGGCCAATGACGGAGTTCACATTCAATGTGAAGTCATATTTTTGTGGTTTTCAAGTTATTTGTAATTATATTAAATATTAAATAGTGTTTAATTTTTCTAATAATGTATAAATACTAAATATACAGCATTTATGGATTTATAGTCATCACTTCTGGCACTGGATAACACTGGATATAACATGTCTATACATAATACAGTTTGTTTGTATTCTGATCATATGTGTTCTGATAATTTTTGATTATTTGTTAAGATGTTTAAATGTGAATATTAAGATCCTTGTGAATGTAAATAATTGTTTTATTTGTTAATTTAACTGTTTTTAAAAGTTACCTTGTTACCATAACATAGTTATTCTTAATTTTACCAGTGATACGTCTCATTTGTGATTTAATATGGCCAGTTGTTCAGGCCACCGATAAAGCAAGAACTCTAACCAACAATGTGACCTCCAGCAAACAATCATTGGCAGTGTGAATGGTCCTTAACCTGATGCACACTTACAAGCATAGATAATAATGGAAGCATTGTCATTGTGTCTCATTATTTGCTCTCATATTCTCACCTGCGCACAGAACTTGGACTTGGCGACCGCATGGATCAGTTTGAATATGGGCTGCTGTTGGGACTGTAGAGGTGTGACCACTTGAATGACGGCTGTAAACTCATGAGACGGACTCTTACCTGCAGAAATCACAAAAACGTGGATAGCAGAAACGACTTTAGTGCTTTTGGACAGTCTGTATTTGCTGGTGAATTTCTTTGCTTTAAATCATGAAGCACATAAAAATGCAGTTTTCACACACGGCGAACGGCAGATTAGCCTTTATGAAATCAGTCTTCAGCGGCATCAGCCTCCGGTGTGTAACATCTCTCTGCATTTGTATCAGTTTGCTTTATGGCAGCCGTTCAAAGAGAGCACCTGTTTATCTTTGTTCCTCCGCAGGGATTCGCTTCATTTATCTACGTTTGCGACTGCGACTCCAGAAAGCCGACAGCTACATTAAGTCTCTATTACATCACAATAAAGGTTACTACAAAGAACAAAAGAGAACAAGAGACGATAAAACTAGTAAAATGAATTGATCAAAGCTGTGAAACTTTTCTGGTTAGGCCGTAAAACAAAAGAGAAGTTCATAATATATCACAGTGACAGTAATTACGCTTAGCCAGAACATCTATTATCCCTATTTCCTCTCTGCAGGGATTCAGACTCTATAAAAATGAACAAAACAAGAACACGCTACCACACGCACAGTGTAAAACACGTGAACAAACAGGCCACACACTCAGACCACACAGAAACAAACCACACACAAATACACAGAACTCCAAACAAGCAAATTCACATGCACTTTTGGTTTGATTTTAAAACGTATTATTTGCAAGTAATGCTAATGGTCCATCCACTAATTGTGGTCACATCTGGAAGTACAGTCAGTCATAAGAGGTCATTTGGTTCACAGTTGAAACACACACACACACACACATACACACACAAACTGGTTTCCATTTTTTGTGGGGACTCTCCATAGGCGTAATGGTTTTTATACTGTACAAACCATATTTTCTATCACCCTACACCAACTCGACACCTAAACCTACCCCACACAGGAAACTTTCTGCTATTTCAGATTTTCAATACACTCCATTCTATGTGATTTATCAGCTTGTTTCCTCATGGGGACCAAAAAAATGTCCCCACGAGGTCAAAATTTACTGGTATTACTATACTTGTGGGTACATTTGGACATTAGACATTTGGTCTACAAAAATCTACTATTTTTCTCAGCAGACACTTTAATCTGCAAGTAAGAAAATTTGCTGAAAATGTACTCACCCTCAGGCCATCCAATATGTAGATGTGAAGTTTCTTCATCTTAACAGATTTGGAGAAATTTAGCATTACATCACTTGTTCATCAGTGGATACTCTGCAGTGAATGGGTGCCGTCAGAATGAGAGTCCAAACAGGAGCATGGTGGAGTCCCCACGTTCACTTGCAAATGGTGCTTGAAGTAATGCTAAATTTGCCCACATCTGTTCCGATGAAGAAACAAACTCTTCTACATCCTGGATGGCCCGAGGGTAGGTAAAATTTCAACAGTTTTTGGGTGAGCTATTCCTTTTAAACCAATTATCTTGCGTGTTCAGAACAACCAAAGAAAAAGAACAAATTCAAAACAAACCAGAAGATTCGTCTGAGCTGTGTACAACAGAACATCATTATGTATGTAAGCCACAACATCTAAAATATTTTCAAATGACTGTTTCAAGGAAGACAGGAACACAGCAAGCCATCGGCGCAGTCCACTGGTCATGTTGGATTATATCTCATTGCCTAATAAACAGCATGCATCACAGGTAGCCGGATTTATAGTGTTGCCCTAGCTGAGCGAATCACGCTGTATATCACGCCACACTGAAGTTCTCTCCAGTTATGGCCGCGGACAGGGAGTCTAAACTGCCCTGTCATCAAAATTATGGAAAGTGAGACTAACAACGCCTGTGACAGCAGAGTATAGACCATCTATCACTCCTGCAACACAGATTTACTGCTGACATGTGAAGCCCAGGGACGAATCCGCTACAGACCCCTATATGCGCATGCAAACACACACAGGCCGGGTTTAGGAAGGAATATGGCCGACACATATGTTCACGATCCACTACATACACACACACACACACACACTGCTTGGAGGGGAACCAGCATCTATCTGAGTTATGATTTCATTTTCACTGCAACAAAGTTTTACGGCATTGAAGGTGAAGGTGGTGAAGAGACGCACACACACACACACACACACACACACACACTCACCGAGTGTCGAGTAGTAGAAGGGGAAGAGGGTGAGGTCGCTGGAGAACTCAGGAAGAGCGTAGAGTCCTCCAGGCAAAGAATTCCACATCAACCTGCTCCGGGACATGTGTGTCCGTATCCTGTCATGGATAATCTGTGAAAACAACAAATATCAATATTATTTACAGTCACAATTAGCATTATAGGTGCTGCGATGAACTAATCATGAAAAACACTGATTGTGAGTGCTCTCAATTTGTCAAAATTTTCTCATTTTTCTCAATTGTGCTCATTGTTTGTGCTTAAATGAATACATGACATATTAACTGCATGAGTTGTATAAACTTAGAACTGTACATTTCTGCCATATGAACATTACTTTGACACAGTCACCTCTGATAAACAGATCACTCTTAATTGTAATGTAGAAACATTCATTTTCTGAAAGCTGCTTTGAAATGGTACCGTGAAAAGCTCTATTCAAATAAATGTGAATTGAATTGAATGTTTTAGCTGTGGTTAAACCTTGGAACCAATGACAGCAAGTTTCTGTGAGCGTATAAATACTGTGTGCAATCACAGGTATTTTAATTCCAATAAACACATAAAAACAAACTAATGAGTGAGGTCTAAACAGTCTGATCAGTGCTTTGAAATCAGTGCTTTTGAAAAAAGTTTGGATAGTCTAGATTTAGATTCTAGATTGCATTTTTATGTCAAATAATATATGGACTCCTTCATGTTTATCTTTTAAGAAAAACTAAAATATTATTCTTTGTATTTATTTTTATGTTTACTTATATATTTTTTCCTTTCTCAAATGGTTACCAATTCATTTAATACAGACTGTTTTTTATCTGTATTAAATAAATCAGTCAGTAGCCTCTGGTTACCCAGAGACATTCAAGAATTGTAATAATTTAACAACACATTCACAGGTTTATGGATCTCTGATGTTGGCTAATGGTCACATGACATGCAGGCAAACAAATACAATATTTTGACATCTTTTAGTAGGTGTTTTATTTTGTTTGTTCATATTTTTATACCATTTATTCAAACTGTTTATGCTTAATTTAATGTTAATTTAGAAATACACTATTGTTCATTGTTAATTAACATTTGTTAAATGTAGTTAAATGGTAAAAAATATATTGGTACTTGTAAAAAAATAACATTAACCAAGTATTGTTTATTGTTAGTTCATGATAGCTAATACATTTACAATGCAAAAAAATGTGACTATTGTAAAGTATAAAAAAGTATTGTAAAGTGGAAAATGACAGACAGACAGACAGACAGACAGACAGACAGATAGATAGATAGATAGATAGATAGATAGACAGACAGATAGATAGGTAGATAATGGAAGGCCGTTTCGGCCACTGAATAATTCCGACTTTTTGTCACATTTTTTTTTCGTGAGTTTACTCTGAATTGCATGACATACAAGATATAAGATATAATTGCAAGATATAAAGTCACAATTTTGAAAAAGAAAGTCAGAATTGTGAGACATAAGCCAGAATTGCGAGTTTGTATCTCAACAATTCTGACTTTAACACACAACTGCAAGATTATATCAAGCAATTCTGAGAAAAAAAGTCAGAATTGTGAGATGTAAACTCGCTATTGCAAGAAATAAGTCAGAATTGTGAGATAATTAGTCGTAATATCGTGACGTAAACATGTGGGGGCGTGTTAGAACGAGGCGTTTTAGGTAGGCGTGGCTGACTCTTAACTTTTATAAAGAATATCTCTTTGGATTTGAGACTTTAGTCTTTGCAACTTTACAGATCTTCTTTATGCACCAAGAGCTTGTAACACTTCAAAGAGAAAGGAACAATTGAAATCGCATCATATGACCCCTTTAATTCTGTGGTGAAACGGGGTTACATAAGATAGATAGATAGATAGATAGATAGAAACACAAAAAATACAAAAAACTGCTTTAATTTTGCTTATGATTATGCCTAAAAAATAAAATAAAAAAAATCAACTTGGCAGACCATCTCTATCAGTCTTTGAAGGCAATGCATAGACAATATTCTCTACAGTATGCACACAGGCCTAATGACTCAAATTAAACACATTAATCTTGTTTTATTACAACACTAATTAATCACAATCTTCCTCACCCCCATCACAACGGGGTGTGAGAGATCTTAAACCAAAAATAACCTGTAAAACACACGCACACGCACACACGCACACACTCACACATGCACGCATGCACACACACACACACACACACACACACACACACACGCATTTACAGTGGGGAAAATAATTATTTGATCCCCTGCTGATTTTGTAAGTTTGACCACTTACAAAAAAATTAAGGGTCTATAATTTTTATGGTAGGTTTATTTTAACGGATAGAGACAGAATATCAACAAAAAAATCCAGAAAAAACACATTATATAAAGGTTATAAATTAATTTGCATTTCAGTGAGTGAAATAAGTATTTGATCCCCTACCAACCAGCAAGAATGCTGGCTCCCACAGATTGGTTACGTGCCCAAGTGGAACACAGATCAGTCCTGGCACTTTAAGAAATTACTCCTAATGTCATCTTATGAGTATAAAAGAAAAAAGAAGCACATTAAGGTCATGGAGTGGCCTAGCCAGTCCCCAGACCTTAATTCTATAGAAAATCTGTGGAGTGAGCTGAAACTTTGAGTTGCCAAGAAACCTTAAGGATTTAGAGAGAATCTTTAAAGAGGAGTGGAACAAAATCCCTCCTGAGATGTGTGCAAACCTGGTGACCAACTACAAGACACATATTACCTCTGTGCTTGCCAACAAGAGTTTCTACACCAAGTTTTGCTTGGGGATCAAATACTTATTTGACTCACTGAAATGCAAATCAATTTATAACCTTTGTTCAGTGTTTTTTTTTCTGGATTTTTTACTTGATATTCTCTCTATCCGTTAAAATAAACCTACCATAAAAATTATAGACCCTTCATTTCTTTGTAAGTGGGCAAACTTACAAAATCAGTAGGGGATCAAATAATTATTTTCCCCACTGTACTTAGCTATCTAAATAGGGACATTACATAGACTTCTATTGTTTTTATATACAGATAGTTATACACGTTTTTAACCTAAACCCACCCCTACCCCTAACCCTCTGTATTTTTCCAATAATAAAAAAAAAAACTTTGTTTACTTTATTTTTATACCAGTTTTACAAATGAGGACGTCCCCAAATGGAGGTTTTTGGCGATTTTGTCAGGTTTTGCTCAATTTTGGGTACAAATTAGTCCCCAAAACTAAGTAGGCACACACAAACACACACACACAAAAATCCTTTTATGTCCTGAGTCCTCCTCTGCTGGGCTTGATTGGTTCTGTCTCTCCCCAGTCTAGAAATGCACAGGCCAATTAGGATCAACTACAGTCTAATTAGAGAACCCTCATGTCAGTGTGTTTGTGTATCTCTGTGCCTTTACATGTTTTAATGTGCTGTACGTGAAGTGTAGTGATTTTGTCAGATCCACGCATCAAGCGAAGCATCTCGTTGGTCTTGTTCTGTGGAGCGTTTAATTACATAGCATTTATTCCTGCATGCACACACACAATCACACACCACACATGCACGAGTGTTGAAAGACTAATTACGTAGTTTGTCAACATGGAATGGCATGGACATCACACTGTACTATTAACTACCAGTCTACTCAGAAAAGTGTAAAAAAAAATTTAAATGTTGCATTTTTATAGGCCTAAACCTGGAAACAAGTTAGTATTTTAGCACTTCCACTTCCACCACCCCTGAAGTCAATGAATTTTTTGAAAGGGTTAAATGCCTAAAATAAGGCCAGTGGTTAACACAAGCTAAATATATTTTCACAGTTTTTTTTCCACACTTGTGTGTGCTTTTAAAGCCTTTACTTGGCATGAAACAGGCATTTGATGCTAAATGGGACTACAGAGGTTGATTAAACCATCACGTTGAACAGTAAAACTACTTACTAGTCCGCTTTTACAAACTGAATAAGTTGTTATTGATGTTGATAGTGTCATTAGTTTATAGCCTTCTGTACATTTGTTTTTTAACTTCTGCCAATTATTTTTAGGCTTCGTTCTGAGCAAAATGTATAAGAATCATAAACTTTTGTTGGTCACAGAGCTTTAATCCAAATCCAGTGGAATATAATATAAAAACTAACTAGGTTGGTATAATACATTATTATTTTCATGTTTGAATCGCAAGGTATCATTGGTCATGTGATCTCAACATGGCATCCTTCTCCCATCCTCTATGTTGAATAAAAGGCTATTCTAATCCATTGATATAAGTTAAGTCTTAATCACTTTAAACATTTGTCTGAAGTGCAAATCATTTCTTTAGAAGTAAATAATTTTAATTAGGAAAAATTTAATTAATTAATTTATTTAAAAGTGAGTGAGTGAGCAAACTGCAGAAATGCTCTTTTCATTGTCTTTGTATCTTTCGGTCATTTGTCTTTGATATGAAGAACTACGGTTCAGTCAGAAGGAGGGCAAATCCAGACACTGGGCTCAAAATTTCACACACCGTCATTCTGTTGAAAACGTTCCGAGCGAAACAGAAGCAGGGATTAGGATAGCTCTGGAAAGAGACCAGCCTCAGGGGCTGCAAAAACACAGCATGGAAAAGTGTCTCTTCAGTGACAGGAAACATATGGTTTACTCATAGTCCCAGAATGTGTGACACAGGGTTTTCAATGAGGTTGAATTAAGCTACTTTATTGCAATGGTTCCTGCAACTGGTGGGTTGCAACAAAAATGAGTCACAAATCTATTCTTGTCATGGTCAGCAGGGAAAAACAACTCAAAATGCAAATAATAAAATCAGTGTTATTTTAGTATCATATTTTAGTATTTGAGATACTGTTTTAGTTTTTATTTATATTTTGAACAATTTTCATTTTAAATTTAAGTCAAAATAATTCGGTTGTGTTTCTTGTGTTTAAATAAATGTTGCTTTGGCAACTAGCTGAAATAAAATAAGTTATTATTATTATTATTAAATATTTTATTTCAGTTTTTCAGATTTTACTTCAAGTAACTTTTTTGTGGTTTTATTTTTAGTGAACTATAATAACCCTGCATAAAATACGATATAAAAATATATAACCATGGTCACGACGAGGCGTTCCCCATAGCGACCCCTAGAGGACGCAGTTCGAAGTTCCCATGAAAGGGAACAAACAAGTTCAGAAATTAAGTAATGTGTAATAAAATGGAATGACAGAGAGACAAAGTATTGAACACAGGAAGAAAGGGAGGTGCAAAAAGGCATGGAAAGCCAAGACACCAGCTGAAATATATCAGTAATTAGAAAGCAATCCTGCCCCTTGTCAGTGGAAATTAATATTAGCTGGATCAGTCCCAACACCAACAGTACCAGGATGATGAAGATGAAACAAGGGTGGACATTTCAGCAAGACAATGATTCCAAACACAGCCAAGGAAACTCTCAATTGGTTTCAGAGAAAGAAAATAAAGCTGCTAGAATGGCCCAGCCAATCACCTGACTTGAATCTAAAGATCAGAGTTCATAGAAGAGGCTCACAGAATCTTCAACATTTGAAGACTGTGTGGAAGAATGGGCCAAAATCACACCTGAGCCATACAGGAGGCGTCTTGAAGCTGTCATTACCAACAAAGGCTTTTATACAAAGTATCAAGTAAATTTCAGTAGTTCAATACTTTTTCTCTGTGTCATTCCATTTTATTACACATAACTTAATTTCTGAAATTATTTGTTTTGTTTTATTT